GGCCCCCCCCCCCCCCCCCCCCCCCTCCCCCCTCCCTTGATACGCGACACACGGAAACTAGCAACACCAGTACAACCAGCACAACGCCTTCCCGCACGGGATGCGAGACCCCTTCGAGATGTTCGAATCCTTCTTCGGGAGAGCGGGGGCCAACAACGGCGGTGGAATTGGAGGAGGCATGTTCGGAATGATGGGCGCGGGTGGCTTCTTCGACCAGGACCCGTTCTTTGGCGGCGGCGGCGGCCGCGGGGCGGGTGGCAGCGGGGGCCGTAGCGGGGGTGGTTCGCGGCGCGGCGGCGGCGGCGGCGGTGGCGGAGGATTCGGTAAGAGGGGGTTAGGCCGACGGTGTCGTTCTCGCGTTCCTTCCTACAGAGTGGCTGTCTCCGCTTTAAGGACACTTAAAGTTGTTCTTCACAGAACAGATAGCGTTCTCGTATGTCGAGGACATTTCTTTTTCCTTCCGTTTATATCCCTGTAGTGATTTTTTTTTCTCTTTGCGGGGTACGTACCATCATGCTTCTGAAGAATATGATGTCCCTTGTAGGGGGCGGTGTCGTTTAAGCGGGGCGTGTCCATAAAACGCGAGGGGGGGGGGGTGTACGCATGTTATGAATGCAATAGTGGGTAGACCACTGACCATGCGTCCTCGAGAGGACGGAGCATTTAGCATTGCCCTTCACGGGGAGAGGTGTCGTCATAGCGGAGATGACTGTAGACTGTGCTACGTCCACTGGTGGACATGACTTGACAGAGTTTTCGGCGACACACCTTTTGGTGGTGCAATGCAGAAAGATGCACGCGTAAGTGCAATGATTGTACATTGCAGGTCCGGTCTCGTCAATAGTGCGGGGACCAGTAACAAGTGCAAGGGCCCGACTGAGCTGATTAAAGACAGTGCGGGAATCCCGCATTATTGCGCGGCTATTTTTCTTGCCGGCATTCCGCGCTTTCGAGGCACAGTACCGTGACTGCATGGGCACACCGTGACCGATAAAATGCAGCCAACAGCAGCAGTGGCACCAGGTGCAGCAACGGCATCAGATCCACTATAGTAGTACAGGTCCAGCTGTGGCAACAGGTCCAGTACACCTTAAGAGTGCCGGTCGTGCTACACCCCATACCATGTTATTATGGTGTGGTGCGGTGCATCCGTGCAACCGCTGACCCGCCTGTCGTCTATACCATTACGGGCCTGTATCACGGCTTTGTGCTCCTGGGGGGCATGCTTTCCTGCTGTTCACTTCACGAGGCCCTGCCCTGGTTGTTGCTACTATCATGTGTTTGAATTGCACCAACATCCAGCCGCGAGCACTACAGCCCTCCGTGCGACGTAATTTTTTCCCTCCTTGTTTTTGTTCCGTCTCCACTACTTGTGCTGCTTCGTTGTACGTAAACATCGCGACGTCGACCCCGCGCGTGCGGTTCGCCTTCTTCCGCCCCACGACTCCCAATAACAAACGGCCGACCATCCCCTGCTGCCACCACCACCACCAACAACAACTACGCAACAACTACGAAATGAAAACAACAGCGCTGCAACAACCGGCAGGGAACCTCTTCCCCGGTCACGGCTTCATGATGGGCGGCGACGACTTCTTTGGCGGCGGCGGCGGCGGCGGCTTCGGCGGCGGCGGCTTCAGCATGAGCAGCATGAGCAGCAGCAACATGGGCGGAGGGGTGTCCACCAGCACGTCGACGTCTAGGTCTACGACGATCGGTGCCGACGGCGTCCGCCGCACCAAGTCCAGGACCGAGAAGACGGTGGTGCACCCGGACGGGACGAGAGAAACCAAGGCAAGAGGATAAGAGCATGATGGTGGTGTGATGAGTAGTGTTGTACGTCGGCGTTGTTGCTGTTGTTGTTATTGGTGCTGGTGCTGGTGCTGGTGCTGGTGCTGGTGCTGGTGTGATGTCTAGTGTTCGTTGTTGTGGTTGTTGGCGTCGTCGTTGCTGCCATTGTTGTTGTTGTTGTTGTTGTTGGTGGAGGTGGTGGAGGTGGTGGTGGTGGTGGCGGCGGTGGTGGTGATGCTGCTGCTGCTTCAGTGTAGGCACCACTCCCTCTGCAACGGATTATCCTGGCCAACTTTTGGACAGACCGAGTGTCACGGTCACAGCCACCTAGCTGTGGCCGGAGTAGACCAAAACCACAAACGACTTTTGAAGGCCCATGAATTTCATCTCCGTGTGCNCCAGGCGCCTGTTTCCCCCCCCCCCGTTTTTGGCACCCCCTCCGTGGTGGGCCCCGATACTTCCTCCGTTCACATCGCTTGTCCCCCCTCCCTTTTGTGGCCTTGGGGTCCCTTCCTCTCGCCGTTTTGATGCGTCCAGGTGGGGGATTTAATGGACGGTGTTCCGTTCCCCGTGTGGGGGTCAATCGCAAACGGTTAGGTTTGAGAGAAAAGGGGAACGGGGGGGGGGGGGGGGGGCACGGGTACGCGGATTGTGCGTGGTTGCTGTTTTCTTTTCGGGACCGTCGAAAACGTGTCTCATATGAGATAAAGGAAGGCTGGTCCTCTCCTTTGTAGAGCCACTATCACCTTCACCGGGTGCCTCTTTCGAAAGCACCTGTACGTCTGGAAATCAGCGTCTGTATGCGTAGCCCTTGTGTGTTCTTTTTCCTTGTGTGTGTGCGTGTGTGTGGGTCTTTGGGTGACTTTTTCCGACTTGCTTGGATTCTCTACGGATGAATGCCATTGCGATATGCTGTCCTCCTCTTTTTTTTTCAGGGGCGGGGTTGGGGTTGGGGGTGATGATCGGGCGGGTCGTTAGCGATACACGAATAACTTCGGCAGTGCAGATCCTTCTCTGATCATTTTTTTTTCTTCTTTTTTTCTTCTTTTTTCGTGCTAATTCCTCTTCCGATTCGGACCACAAAGTAGCCGGCGGCGCTTGGCGCATCAATGTCCACAGTACTTGTGCTGTGAGTCGGGGTGGGTCTTCCGGCAATCCTCGGCCGAACTGTCTGAAACGCTCGCGTGTGAGAGTGGGATAAGGCATGTAAGTGCCCACAGTTTTCCTAGTCACTGTTTTTCTGATTGGCCGAAATTCCTTGCAAATCGCCATGGCGGTGCCTTTTTTTGCTCCCTTGCCTTTGAGCTACGATGTGTTTACCAGGTTGTTGCCCATTCATCCTTTCCTCTGCTTCTACGCATGCGCCTACCGCGCGTGTGTGTTGCTAAAAAAAAAATAACGTAGAGCGCAAGGTCGATAAATGAACGGGGGGTCCCGGGAAATGATCAGGAAAATCTGGCGCGGCTTGTCGTGCCTATAACGCGTAGACTGTTAAAATGGTGGCGTCTTGCGCCGTTCAAGGGCCACAGGGACCGGGGGTATTGTACATGACGATCTCTTGGTTTTCACGCTTCTGTGGGAGAAATAGTCGATTTCACCACTACAATTTGTCAGATCGGCTGTCCTAGTGTGGGGGTGTCTTGCGCTGTTCTTGCAATGCGGGAGCGCCACGGGAAAGAGCGGGGTGTATTGACGGTCTCCTGGTTTTTCGCGATGCTGTAGGAGTAGTAGTAATCGACTTCACTACTGTTGGTTGTCAAATCGACTCACCGAGTGCGAAACACGCCGTTTGCCGCGCGTGTGTGTGTTAATAATATGTATGTGGGGGCGTTCTATGCATGCGTTCTTTGGTTGTCCTTTTGCCGGCCGTGTGCGCTGCTGTATTCGGCGTAAACTAAACAACCACCAACAGAGAGACACGTCAGCCTCAGGGGGGGGCGCGCGGACGGGGTTGTACGTAGTAGGTGGTGATGGTGTGTGTTGTGCCGAGTTGAGCAATTAGATTAATCTCATTTATGGTGTCTATTTCCGTGCAAGGGTATACGTGTACGCCGCACGCCATGCATGTTGTGTTGTGTACGGTTGGCTGTCGATATCGGGTTACTATATACGAGTACATTTTTTGGGAATGTTTTTGGACGCGCACCGAAGCGGCGTCGCACTTACTTTTTTATGTAACACGGGAATTTTTTCTTCTTGTTTTTTCCTCCGCACTCCCTTTGCGGTGCTTGCGCCTTCATTTCTTTTTTGTCGCGAGTACAGGGATCGCAACCCTTACCTTCCCCTCATTGCAAGTGTAGGAAGGCGGCTCTTTTTCTTCTTGTGTTGTTATGGGCAACAGCTGGGGCTGTTGTTTGCTGGTGAACGAGCCCATCAAAACATAAGGGGGGGAAATGCACGCCTGGCCAAGAGCAAAACGCGAATGAAGACCGACTCGACCACGAACCGCATGATACATGGAAGGTGCCAATTAATGTCTGAACAGCACGCCCTACACGACACACTGCCTGCTGTGTCCGGGGGCACCACAGGTTGCCTGTGCCCTCTCATCGGATCTCCGAGGCATTGACAACTCTCCTGATGTATGTGTGTTCGATTTTTGGAGCCCTTCTGTACATACAACGTCAAAGCTCCAAGTTTTGAGCCAAACCTATGGGTAAGGGAGTTGTCAGATTGCGAGTTTGTACTCGAGATGATGAGCACAACAAACCCGGAGTTGGACCCAACCTCACCGGCCGTCCCTTTAGTACGGTACGGTTAGACGGTTAGTCCACGACAGGTGGAGCATTTCCTTCCAACATAGACTGCCGTGTCCCCCAATTGAGCGGAACAAAACAACAAACTCGACGAGCAAGTGCTTTGCTTCGGTAAGTGTTGACTTGACACCTCAATTTGCAACTGGGAAAGTTTGGAGCGAATTAATTTGTCGCGGAGGACTTCTGTGTGTCTGTGTTGCTGGTATTGGGCACACGTAAACAGTCAACTCGTATGACACATCGATGCATTGAGTCTTTCTTTCCAGTATTTATTTGTGGAGTGAATCGAATGGTCGCATAGACAATGTCTTCTGCAAATAAATTCTGGATCACTGGTACTGGAGACGGCAGGAAGAACCGTGCGAGAGATAGGTAAATGAGTGTGTGACGGAAAAAAAATAATGATAATACAAGAGTGAAATCGATGCCAGCTAGCAAAAATGAAGATAAAAGTTTCAACGATTGGACAAAAAAGGAAATAAACGGGAGGCAAAAAAAACGATGAAGGGGAACTCGAAAAAAAGCACCAAACCGCGTGAAATCAGAGAGCGTTCCAGACGACGTTCCACTTTGAATTACCGGAGGAGGGGCGGACGGTGAAAAAAAAGGAACGATAAGAATCCGTGGGAGAAATACATCACCGCGAACTTTATTTTCCTGGACTTCTTCATTGTCTACGAATGAATGCATTCAGCAGAGAAGAACCCTTGCCTCGTTTCTGACCCAAAACAAAAATAATAGACGAAGGTATGTACGCATTATTTTACGAATACAAAAGCAAGGTCGAGACCGCTACTACAGGTACTAATCTCAAACGACTCTTTTCCCCTCCTCTCAACGTGGGGAGTAACTTCACTGAGGGAAAAATCCAAACACCTACGCAACAATGCCCCTACTACAGCGGGCGGTACACAAAACATCCAACAGGAAACGTCATGTACTACCAGCCGCCCTCCGCGCCTCTGCCAGGGAAAGTAATAACGACATCGGGCAGAAAACAAAATCTTGACGACGCTGCAAAGCAACGCAAGATACAAAAAGTGGGAAATCACCAACGTTAGTACAGGATGCTCGCCAAGAAAAACATTAACCCATGTAGGTGAAATGATGCCCGAAACCATCCATAAACTCATGACACCGTGCGACCAATGAAAATAATCCACCCACGACAAGCAGCATCATCATCTGTGTCCAGAAAGTCCGCTCCAAACGGCCGTGGATGGCGTCAAACCATTCATCATCCATCCAAGAGCTTCGGTTCAAAAGCACTTCCATTTCTTCTCGACAGTAGTGTAATCGACGTTTGGTCCTTTTTTCTCTCTAGCGCCGCGGCCACAGCAGCAGCAGCAGCAGCAGCACGCGGCGGGGGCGGACACGTCTTTCTACCCGTCGAGAAAATGGCTGGGTCAAGACGAATCGACCAAAGCGGCCAAAGTAGTCGACGGCGTCTTTTGCCCATGAGCAACAAGAGCGTCCTCTCTTTTCTCTCTCCACGAAAATCAACCCCGACGGCAAAAAAAAACACGCCCCTTCCTCTTTTGCCGTTCTCCCAACCCTTGTTGTACGCGTCTACTACTATGCATACGAGTCTCAACATCGACCTCCTTCACACTCCTAACGGCACTACCAAACACGGTTGACGCTGCTACCGAGCGGTCATCAAAACGGCGGGGGTCTTGGGGGGGGAAATAAGACGTTGTCCATCATCCCCGTGCCCCGGTTGCTACGCAAATTACTGCCATGTCCTACAGGCTAGATGCCTGACCGCCTATATTGACAACAACAGACAACAAACAACGAACAGATGCTCTCCTGGTACAGACAAGCCGAGATGCACACGATTGACTTTACGCGGCCGCGCTACTTGTTGTAGCAGCGGAGGAGAAGCTGTGTTGGGCGACGGCGACGACTGGTTGTGCCGCTCTTTGAAGCTAATCGTCGACACTACTTACCGTGTTGCTGCCGCCACGTACTCAAACCAACACAACCTCGACCTACTCCCCGCGCACAGAGACAAAAAAAAAAAAAAGGACGAACATGTTAACGCTGCCGCTGCCGCTGTCGTATCGCACACGACCAAACGCCCTCTCGACGACCGCGACTCTTAAAAACAACGACCACTCACTGCTGTTAGCAATGTCAGCTCTGAGTCAAACAATTCGTCAAACACCGCAAAAGGAGAAGCAGCGGCAGTTTTCCTTCCTTCCCAGCGCTCGTTAACTTTAGTATGAACGCCACCCCTGCGGAAATGATCGCGCTCCAAAACAAACAACAAACAACAATCACATCATCTCTGTTCCGCTGGCTCCCCCAAGAACAAACCGGGAAACTTCACTTGGCGCGCTCTCTCCGAAGAACAAACCGAGAAATTTCACTTGGTGCAGCTTCGGGTGGCTGCATCGCTTTCGTCAATTGGTCCCAAACAGACCCGTGGCACCTCTCGCATCCCCTGACCACCCTTTCGACAACCGAGAATAGCTCCGGCCGCAAAAACAAACCCACTCATAAACCAACTTGACCGAAATTTCTCGCCTCTTTGCTTCCCACTGCCAAGACGCCAACGCTGACAGACTCCAACAACAAGCCAACCCTTGAGGCGCGGCCAGGGATCCACTCCAACACATCGAAAACCAAAAAGAAACACCTATGATCCCTTCTTCTTGCGCCTCCCTACCGCAGGTTGCGTAACCATCTACCACCACCCCCAGGAGAAGACCGTTTTCAAGACCCCACGGTGGAAGAAGATGATGATGGGTTCGACAAACGTCTTCGGAAACCCATCGACGAGACCAGACGGTTCCAACCCCGACAACCTTTCGGCACCGCCGTGCTGCTGGCTGTGGTGCTGCAGACTAAGTTTGGGCCTTGAAATGTCTGCCAAGGGGCGTGCGGTATCCTATGCAACACCGTAGGGTAGCGGAGGAAACTCGAAACCGTCAACTCCAATGGGTACGAAAAAAACGCCTTGGTCCAAATACAGACATCCGACGGAAGGGTCCGGCAGACGTTACAGAACAAAAGAAAAAAAAAAACAGAATGGAAACTGACGTCAGAAACGGAGAAATAAGAACCGACCACACAAAGATGACCGAAGACACTCGAGAGATTCTTGTTCGTCGCCAACCGTTTCTCTCTTCCAAAGCTTTCAATTTTTATTCTACCGACCTGTGGCCGCGAGCGCGCGTGATTGCAGCCAACGTGCGGCGGAATCCGTACCTTTTCCCGGTTGAATCGGCACGGAATAGCAACGGTGGCTCTGGCTAGGCAGACACCGTAATGAATCACAACAACGTCAAGACAAGAGCAGATACCGCAACAACCCACGAGAGCGGCAGCAACAGCAACAGCAACTGGGGCAACACAAAACATTCAAAGTACCCCAAGGTTAACCAAGAATAATAACAAACAACAACAACAAGAAAAACATGTAGGTTTCTCACGCCAAGGGAGCAAGGCCAGCCGATGTACCTGCCCCGGCAAAGACGTGGAACCGACACGAGAAGGCGAGAGCACCGCGCACACAAGGCCCCCCACACCCCAGCAGCAGCAAAAAAAAAGCAAGATTTTTTTCACATTCAAGGCAAACGCCGGGCCACGTGTTCATCCCCCCCCCCCCACCCTGAACAGCAAAAAAAAAAAAGAACAAGGATTAGAATGATGGCCACGTTGCCACCACGCAAAGTTTCTGTGGGGACCTACCTCATCCCGCGCGCGCCCTAAAACCTTTGTTCTAGCGACACAACAAGGAAACTAAATTCTCATAGCGGTACTGCTTCCTCTGTTGGTGCGGCCCCAGCCGTGACGTCCGACACAGCAGTCGCGCGTCCACGATCCTCACAATAAATTATTGATTACGGCTACAATGAATAGCTGTAAGCGCTGCAACAAAACAGACCTAATCTCGGAGCGCTCAAAACGTCGTTCCCCAAAAAACCAACAACTAAAGATCACCACAACAGGTACAACGATACACATCACGCGACGTGGCCATGGTTGTTAATGAAGCTGTCGGTCCTACATTTCACGGCAGCACAATGCGACTCAAGCTCCACGCGCCTGCCACATTAACATGTGCGCGGCCTCACTAACGACACAGCAGCAGCAGCAGCAGCAGCAGCAGCAGCAGCAGCAGCAGCAGCAGCAGCAGCAGCAGCGTCGGTTCCGTTAACTCTCGTCAGTTTGTCCCGTAGGTAGATAGGAGTCAACCCACGTTGTATACGGCCGCGCTTGCCATTGTTCCCTTGAAAAACATACTACCCGTCCAACGAAACAGCAGCCAAACGTTGTAAAAGGCGAGTCAGCAGAGCGTACCCACGTTCTTCCTGCCCTAGAGAGACCCCTGCGTACAACGGCCCGCGGCTGCATGGTGCGATGCAACACAGTATTTTGCATGGCAATGAGTCACTGAGCACCCCCGTGTCCGCTCCAAGAACCCCCCGCGAACAACGACCCTGCTGCATGGTGAGATGCAAGACGGTGTTGGCATGGCCACGAATCACTGCCCCCCCCCCCCCCCCCCCCCCCCCCCTTACCCCTGCGGGCCGGAACTAACCCCCCCCCCGGCCCAAAAAACCCCCCCCCCTGGAAGGCCTCCCAAGCCACCCCCCTAATTACCCCGGTCCGGGGGGTGTCCCCCGGGGCCCCCTCCCCCTTCCAAATTTAACCTTTTAACCGGCTCCCGACCCTTTGCCGCCCGGACCCCCGGGCCAAAAACGGGAAAGCCCCCAAGGGTGGGGGGGGGGGGGGGGCGGAC